TTTATCTCAGTTATGTTTACCACTCGATATCAATAGTTTCCAAAGCATTATGCATTTCTCTTAAACTAGAATAAGCGTGTGTAGGTTTAGCCTTCTGTGTCTCATCAACCGATTTTGTAATGAGCAAACTGCTCCAGCCAGCATTGCGTGCACCTATATAATCTTTATCGTAAAGATTTCCAATATGCAACGCTTCAGGAGCGTGCACATTATACTTTTCTAGAGGCTTCAGAAATGCAGCACAGTCCGGTTTTTGAACGCCCAAATCATATGAGGTGTACACAAAGTCAAACTCATGCCTTATATTCATACTAGAGAGTACACATTCCAGACCGGGATCATTATTAGAAATGACACCAACATATTTAGTCACATCACGTATTTTTTTTAATAATTCTAAATTGCCCTCAATATGCACATAGCACTCATTACTGCGATACTGTTCAAAAAGTCGTTCACTAATGCGCCGTATTTGTGTTTGCGATAATTTCTCGTCTACTCGTTTAAAGACGTTGTCCACCAACAGGATCCACCATTCCTGCCAAGTTATTTCTTTCGAATTACGGCCGTAATTGGGATATTTCTTGGCCATGTTTTTAAATTCTTCGCGAAATAAATTTTGTAATTTGTTTGGATCAAGGTTTTTTACACCCATTAATGCCGCAGTCTTCGCATATTGCACACCTGGAGGTTTACGAAACCTCAATAATGTATCAGTGATGTCAAATGTTACTAGGCGAAAACGATTCAAGTTCTTAGCAAATTGAACATGACGATTCATTCTTATAAACCTTGAATTATAATATTTTTGTTACTGCTGGGGTAATTCCTTTGTTGTTATTATTAGCCGGTAGATAGTTTGTTTACAGACAACTTAAACTGTTATCTAATGAATAAGAAATAGTAAACAGCTGTTTTGAGATAACAGAGACGTATTACGTAAATACACGCTGGATTCGTGCAATATATGCGTATTATGTGTATTAAAGTAGCTGCCTATAAAAATAATAGTTAAAATATCATAAATCCGAGTTTTCTTATTTCGATTTTTACACTAATTGATATTTTTAATTTATGTAAATTTATCTATGTAATTATATCTCTCGATTCAAAGATAAGATAATTTTTAATTATTACTATTAATTCAGTACATGAAAAAAAAACTGATGGCTTGAAATAAATTGCTTGCAACCCTGCTGTTAAATTTGACTGCTTAAACACATCAAAATTCGCAACATTATTGTTAGTTGAATGATTAAATTGGTGTTAAAAAAAAATGTCTGAAGAACCTCCAAAAATCCGTTTTAAAAATCCACAATACAGTTATATTGAACCTGGTGGCAAAAAGCACGTCTTCAAATCACTGAAACAAATACTGGCGGTGGAAAAAACCCAACAGTGGCCAGAAGGCACTATGTCTTGTGAGTGCACTTGTTTTAAAATGTTATCACTAAAATTTGTGTACTTATGTATATAATTTATATTTGCTACCTTTTATCTCTTTCAGACTCCTCTTTCAATGCGCCACCCTCTTTGCGACCACCTAAAAAATATTCTGATATATCGGGACTGATTGCACCGTACACTGATCCTCACTCTAAGTTGCGTTATGCGAATTCTGAAGAATATGCGGTGGTGAAGACTTTGCCTTCCGATATTGTGGCTGGTTATTTGGCGTTACGTGGTGCCAGTAGTATTGTTGGCTAATGATTATCAAATTTAGACTTAATGGATATAATAAGCTTATTAATTAAGAACGAAATGAAAAGTTATTTAGTAGAACTATAAGGTCATAAATGCTGCAGTTTCCCGAAAAATATTTACAATTCCGCATATACTTACACACATACAAAGTATTAAATTTAAGCAAATTCGAAACTGGGTGAATTGAAAATCCAAGGCCAAGGAAACGAGCTGTTTCGACGGGGTCGGACCATAGGGAGAAGGGTGTTAGATGGGTGGGGTTTGTTGGGCATGCAAAGAGGTGGTTAGTGTTATGCCGAGACTTATTGCACGCAGGACATGTGTTTGGTATGTCGGGGTCTATTCTGGATAAGTAGGAGTTTAACCTGCTACAGTATCCGGAACGAATTTGCGCGAGGGTCACTCTGGTTTCGCGAGGCAACTCGAGCTCTATGTCTGCTATGGGTGGTGGTTTGACTCCTATTACGCCATTCACTGAGAGGGAGTCTGTGAAGGTGTTGATGGCTCCACTGTGAATGGCGGTCAGAGCCTGTCTGAAGTTCGTTGCGTCCGAAGTCCGGTCGGCGTACTGTCTAATGTCGTCGACGTAGTCAAGGAAAGACCTCTTGATGTTCCTAGGAGGCGGCTCCGCTACAGTCAGGCGACTACAGGGGTGGTTTCTACGAAAACACTCCAGTAGAAACTGCTTGGAGAGGAGTTCGTTGTGTTCCTTAACCGGAAGCATACGGGCCTCACTATGTAGGTGTTCGATTGGAGACATCAACAGGCCTCCCGTGATAGTTCGGAGTACAGTGTTCTGACAGGTCTGAAGCTTCTTCTTCTGCGTGTCACTGCATCCAGGCGACCATATTGGGGCTGCGTAATTTAGGACCGCCTGGCCGATTGCCTTGTATGTTGCCAACTACGTTTCTTTGTCTTTTCCCCAAGAGCTGCCGGCAAGCGACTTGAGGATTTTGTTGCGGCTCTGTACTTTGGCAGTTATCGCGGTCGTGTGAGGAGTGAAAGAGCACAGACTGTCCAAAGTGACGCCTAAAATTTTAGGATTATTTACTGTCGGAATTTTTGTGCCATCGACTGAAATATTCAGGTCCTGTACTCCTTCAGGTCTGTACTCCTTCGTCCAATTTGTGAAGATGGTCGCTGTGGATTTAGTGGGAGAGAGTGTTAGGCTCCTTGCAGAGAAGAAGCGAGAAAGATCGGAGAGGTAGCTGTTTACTTTTGAACACATGCCATCGATTCCATTTCCCGAGCGTTGATTGTTCTAGATCCTCAAGTAGCGTTGTGTGATTGACTGTGTCAAAAGCTTTTGACAAGTCCAACGCTACGAGGATCGTCCTCTCGCAGGGTGGCTTCTGGTTCAGGCCATGAACTATCTGAGCGTTTATGACGCTAAGTGCTGTGGTGGTACTGTGCACTTAACGGAAGCCATGCTGATGATCTGCTAGGCTCAGGTGGTGAGTGAATGACGGGAGTAACAAGGCTTCAAGTGTCTTCACTACTGGGGAAAGGAGAGTTATCGGGCGATAAGACTGCCCTTTGTTGGCGGGTTTCCCAGGTTTCAGTAGTGGGACCACTCTTCCGACTTTCCACACATCGGGTATTTGAAGAGTGGATATCGACAGGTTGAGGACCTTGATGAGATAATTTACTCCCGTTGGGCCTAGTTTAGCATCAGCATGCTTATTCCGTCAGGGCCACTGGATTTAGTAGATTTCGCCTTTTTGATGACACTCTGAACCTCCCCATCGGTGAAAGTAAGTGGTGCGCAGTCTTTTGGCATTTTGCGCAGCCGTCGGGTAACACGTCGTTTGGCCTTGTCAGTCGAAGGGTGCAGTGTAAATTGTCGGCTAAAATAGCTCGCGCACTTCTTCGGTTCCGAGGAGGCATGACCATCGAATTGAATTTCAACCCGATCGTCATGTCTTCTCGGATTTGACAGGGCCTTGACAGTAGTCCAAAGCTTACTCACACCGGTGGAGAGGTTGCAGGACTTGAGGTGCTCTATCCATTTTGTCCGCTTATGATGATTTACCATTTGCCGAATCTCCAAATTGAGATCCCTTATTCGGGGTTCACAGGGATCGGCATGGCGTAAGGTGTCGCGCTCGTTTGATAATACAGCTGCTTCGGCTGGGAAGTTAGGGCGGAGTTCCGCGATTCTTCCAGGCGGTATGAAGCGAGCAGTAGCAGCAGCGATCACCTTGCGAAATTGACGCTCGCCAACGATGACGTCCGTAGGAATGGATAGTGCGTTGAAGGTGCTCTCAGTAAATTCTGTGAAGCCGACCCAGTTAGTTGGTCAGACTGGGAGTCATGCTGTCTGTGTGAGCTCCTTAGGGCCGTGGAGATCCTATCTTGGCCACTCGACTGGAGTGGCAGCGCAGTGCGCGAACATGGTGCAGGTTGCACAGCCGTTGAGGCAAATGTCGCATTATTGCGGTGACAGCATGGGGCCACGTAACTTGTGGTCCACTCCCTATGTGTCTTAAGGCCTGAACAGGTCTTAGGATGGCTCCATCCATTGCATGTATTGCACCTAACCGAGGTGGAGTTTGGATGGAGCGTTTTAGCGCAAACGCAGCAGTAAAATTCCTCGGGGCCCGGGTTGGACTTGATGCCAGCACGGGTCAGGAGGATACGGAGCAACCCTGCTTCTAGGCGTTGCTCCATTGACGACAAACTTAATCTAAAACTCATCGTTCCAAACAGGGTTAGATCGCCGAAATAACAGCCCTTGGCTGGATAAAATCCGGGTCAATTCCGTTACCGCAGAACCGGCTGTTGTGGGAATTGTTCGTAGTCTCGGCATATGGTAAACCAGCATAAGCGCCTGAAGTCTTGTAACCTTTCCATCGGTGTGAGTAAGCTTTGGACTACTGTCAAGGCCTTATCAAATCTGAAGACACATGACAACCGATATTAACTCGCGCCACTTACTTTCATGGACGAATAGGTTCGAAGTGTCATCAAGTCCATTAGTCCAGATGGAATAAACATGCTGATGCTAAAGTACCTAGGCTTGACAGGAGTCAGCATTCTAACCAAGATCCTCAACCTGTCGCTGACCACTCTTCTAACTTGAAGACTAGTGGCTACACTACTGAAACCTGGGAGTCTTATCTTCCGATAACTCTCCTTTCCTCTATAGTGAAGACACTTGAGGCCCTGCTACTCCCGAAGTTCACTCACTACCTGAGCCTAGTAGATCACCAGCACCACCACTTAGCGTCATAAACGCCCAGATCGTTCATGGCCTAAACCAAAGGCCACCCTGTGAAAGGACGATCCTCGTAGCGTTGGACTTGTCAAAAGCTTTTAACACAGTCGATAGCCAGAGGAATATACATATATTCCCTCTTTATCGGATTCTAATTGTTCGGTGGTGCCTGTTTTGGCCAGTTGATCTGCTTTACAGTTATCTGGAATATCACTGTGTCTAAGATCAAGACATTCTTTCACTATCTTCGATGAAATCCTACGAGACTTTAGTAATTTTTAAACTGCTTGGATATCTGTGAATATAGAAGACTTTTCATAATTGTTGTGATCTTTGCTTGAAAGCCATGCACTGATTTGGTTGTCGAAAGACAATTCTCCTACTCGATTATACAGTTTGGTTCCGACGGTATATATATGTATGTCTTTTGGTCCAACTCACCTCTTTCCCACTCCTCTCTGGAGGGGGAGGGCAATTCTGGGGGTTGGATTTAAGTTCAGTCAGTTACGGAGTTACATGTGTAGTATATGACTTCGCGTCTTTTTGAACAAAAGCAATATATTATTTCTACCGGAAAGTTCTGTTCGTTTTTTTCAAATTTTTTCTTACCGCCAATTAACTTTAATTATATAATTGCCATTATTAAAATGATCCTTTGCTAGCGTGAGGGCAATTTTTGAAAAATGTCTATTGATGCGAAAAATTTAACCAGTGCTTGTTTGCCATCTTCTTTATTTTTAAATTTTTAGCCCGTCAAAAGATTTTGTAAAGACAAAAACAAGTGATAATCAGGGGGTGCTATGTCCGGGGAATATGGTGGGTGCGACAGAATTTCCCAGCCTAATTCTGCAATTTTTGGACGAGTCAATTTTTTACACTAGCGTGAATGAACTTTATCAGTGGCGAAAATGATGTCATATATTCGGACAGAACTTTCCGGTAGACCTAATACATTGTGCAACATAATGCAAACAGTTTATTTAAAATAAGCTCTACAATATTTCTTAAGCCTTACGACAATTAGGTGTACGTAACCTTAATTCTTTTTTTTTCATAAAGATGCATTAACGACAATAATAAATATTTGTTTTAATAGATTTATTGTTGCTGTTGTGTTAGTGGCAAAAATTATTTCCAAAAATTGTTTAGGATGCTACAGTCCTGTTCAAATAAAAATTCGGTTACGTCAACGCGACTCTCGCGGGATACGGTTTATTGTTCCCTCTTTGAACTTGCCGTAATTTGATAATCTTTTTTAATCTCGTATTTTACAATTTATTAAGTTCAGTTTCGATTAATGCAAATAAAATTAAAGAAGATATTTTTGTTTTGCAATATTATTAGAGAGTCTCGCAAATAAATTAAATCTTGGTTGTATGTACAACTTACATCACAAAATTATATCAAAACGGAAATTACACACAAATGATGTATAACTAAGGAAAGGATATATTTTGCTTTGTGCTGCTCTGTTCTCCCCATTAGCATCTTTTGTATTTATGTAACACCATGCTTACTTGCCCTATAATAAAAAAAAAAAAAAAAAAAATGTAAACAGTAATTATAAAAGGGCACGGACATTCATAAAACAGGCAAACACAAAAATGTGTAAAATTGATATACCAATGCTAGTAAAACTATTTATTGTCAGCACAAACAATGATAATTGAAACTGCAGGCGTGCTGGGCCCAAGTGCTAAAAGATTACATCCAACGGTTTATGTTTTGTACACAAAAGTACTCACATATGGTACATACCTCAGAAGAGAGGTAGGAATGTATGCTGCATACATGAAATCTCTAATTTCGATGCGCATGTTAAACCTCACGAGTTTAGTAAATTGTAAGCAGGAAATATGAGTACCTGCTGACTGAGCACACGAAAATAGCAAATACAACCACAAAGTCATGTCTATAAGCACACACAAGTGTGTGGGCAGGTCACAGCCGCTTGTGCTACGAGCGAGGTAAACCTTCCGAGAATGGTAACAGGATCGTGGTAAGTTTTGTGCGCTCAGTCAGACAAATGCATAAACGTTTTATGAGAGAGAGGCGTTTAAGCTGAGATTTCAATACCGTGTTGTGTATCGACGAACCTGCTAACCAAGATGCGCACAGGTCGCTAAGCAATGCATATCAGTTGGTGCTAGCAGTCCGCGGTCAGTCTTACATTTGAACGCTTCATGTGCGCGCAGTAGTTGCTGTTCGAAGAAATCAACTAAATGAAATATAACTTGCGGCTTCTAAACGTCGCCAATTCAAAATAGTTTTTTAGTTTAGCTATAAAATGTCTGCGAGGACAAGCAGTGGCGCAAGCAGCGTAAGTGATAGTTCTGTAACGGATGGTGATACGAGTTTTAAATTTGCCAGTAAAACTTTGCAAGACTATGAAGTTATATCGGTGATTGGCAACGGCACCTTTGGTACGTGCTTCAAAGTGCGCGATAAACAAACGGGTGAGCTATACGCTTGGAAGGGCATCGACTACGATGAGTTGAGCGAGTCTAAGAAGGCTTCATTGGTGTCCGAGATACGTGTGTTGCGTCAGCTGCAACATCCCAATATCGTGGAATACTATCATCATTTGGTTAATCATGAGGCCAAGTCAATATTTATTGTCATGGAGTGTTGTGAAGGTGGCGATTTGGCGCAGCTTATAAAATGTGCGCGCGATGAGCGCAAACGTTTCGAAGAGCGTTATATATGGCGTGTGCTGTTTCAAGTTTGCAAAGCGTTGCAGGTGTGTCACAACAAGATAAGGAAGGGCACGATTCTACATCGTGATATCAAACCGGCAAATATATTTCTGGACGCTCAAGGTAATGCAAAGCTGGGTGACTTCGGCTTGGCGCGTATGTTGCGCAAAAATCAGGATTTCGCAGCCACTTTTGTTGGCACACCCTACTACATGAGTCCCGAGATTGTTAAAGGATCGCGGTATGATCGCAAATCGGATGTTTGGGCTGTGGGTTGTCTTGCATACGAAATGTGTGCTTTACGCACGCCCTTTCAGGCGGAGAAGTTCGATGAGCTTACTTTGAATATTTCCAATGGCAAATTCAATCACATACCAGCTGTGTACTCCAGCGATCTGCAAGAAATCATTGCTTATATGCTGTCAGTGGATAGTGAACAGCGTCCTAGCATTGAAGTGATAACTCGTCATCCAACCGTTGTGCGCAATATAACTGAACTTGGTAATGATTTTCCAACACTCATCAAAGCGGAGTCAGTTTTCTTTGAAGTCGATGAAATGTCTGCACCACGTTGCAAACTGCAATACAGCCCTTCAATAGACCTTTCTAGCACTATGTATACGGAGCGCAATAGTTTTAATGAGGATTACGGGCAACGTCGGTTGAGTGTCGGATTTACGCCCGATTTACGTGACGAACTCTTTTCCTCTGTGAAACGGCACTTGAAGTCTAAATCTATATTTCAACGGTCAGATCCTGAGCTTTATGAAAGCATACAACACGAACTATATGCGAGCGTACATAATCTGACACCACTGCGACCGCCAGTACCACCGCCGAAGCCATCCTCACATGCGCGCACGTCGGCTAACATTTCTGTGAACGAGCTCAAGAGCCCCACGCTGATTACGGAGGATGTCTTTAATGAGGCGTTGCAAGCACGTCTGCATGCCATACGCGCGCTCGAGTCGTTGTTGAAACATAAAGAGAATTGCTTAGACATGCGCACGCAAGAATTAAACGAACGAGAGAAACGCCTACAGCAGTTGGAAAGTGCGTTACATAAACGTGAGCTTGAATTGGTGGTGAACGAGCAGGCTTTGGCAGTCGACGCTTTACAAGCAGTTGATCGCCGACATGATAATGCCCGTTCACCATCACCTCCCCCAATACCGCCACGTAAGTCTAGCGTTAGCAAACATGATGAGACCTATTGCAGCATAGAAGAAACACAACTGGAATCACCGACAATTGCTAAACTTAATTTGCCATTAACCAAGTCGTATCCAGCCCTACGTCGTGTTACATTTCAGTCGCCACAAAAGTTTACAAATTACAGCATTGATGCTAATGCCAACGACGGCACGCAAGCACAGAAGCTCGCAGTTGCCAAAGTGAACACTAAACGGCAACCTATGGAACTTCAGGCCAGTGTTTCAAGTAAAGATAGTCGAGAATCAATTGATAGCGGCATCGCAGCTAACTCGACAAATACAACGTTAACAACGACAACCGTGCCTACACGACGTCGTTCGATATTATCCACACTTTTCGGTATACATCGCAGCAGCAAAGACACTACAAAGTCCGGCAGCAATCATATAAAAAATAACGTTGAGAATAATAAAGCCAACCAACAACCTATAGCCAGCTCACCAACACCTAAAGCGCGTATGCCATTTGCGCCACGCCCCGATCAAGTGCTAGCCAAATGCGAAACATCAGAGTTGAGCAATATTTGGACTAAGGAGCATAAACGCGCTGCTTTTGACCTTTTGGCCGCCATGAATGCAGGTCAGTGTGGCCCAATTGATGCAACTCAATCAAACATGGTACAATATAATGGTTCCTCAGCGCACTCTGCCACCAATAATATGACAATTGGGCGTCAAAAGTTAAGACAATCGACACGTGAACGTCACAGCGCCACTTTACGTCGCCAGAACCACATGCGGCGTTCGTTAATGATGCCGTCTCAGTGCCATGCGCATGTTACAGCCGCCAGCGCCGGTGCTATGTTGACCAGTACACGTAGCGGTGTGGGTAGCAGGGAGAAAATGCTTGTTTAGAGAATTTCAGTGACAGTTTCATACAAATGTTTTGGAAATTATTAAAAATTTAATGCTTTCGCTTCACCGCTTACCTTAAATGTAAAAAAATACTGCTTCAAAGTCCTGCTATTGCTTGACTAATCACGTCTGAGCCTTATATGCCATACAAATATTTCCTATATATATAAATGATTATTTAACTTGTTAGTTTAATATTATTAAGAGTATTATGTATTTGTGACGCGAAAAAAAGTTCCCTTTATCTTTGAGATTAAAAAAAATGTTTTTATGTTTGTGTTTGTAATCTATAATTTATATAATAATTAACTGTTAATAAATACAGACTTTCAGCTTCTAAAAGTGCTAAATACATTTTCAGATTTCTCTCTTAGTTATTTATATTTTAATGAGTGACCTAAATAAATTTTGGAAAAAAATTGCAAAATGCGACTAGATACCTTTAACCCTTTGGGCTAAAATAACTCAATTATTTATTTTCATGTGTTCAATGTTAAAAACAAGAAAAAACGTTAACTTTAAGCTTCAAAGATTCAAGTTTTTCTTACAAGAACTTAATTTTGATAGATCCGTTTATATGACAGTTATGTACATAAGTACATATATGCTACATTTGTTCGACCTAAACAATTCTTAGGAGATTATACCGTTGCCTTGGGCAATAATCCACACCAAATTTCGCTTTGTCAAATAAAAACGTTTTCCATACATTAACATGTTTTTGATCGTTCAGCTATATGTTATAGTTCTTTGAGAGGAAAGAGATGTGCAAAATTTCAGATCGATATATCAAAAACTGAAGAACTACTTCGCATATAGGTATACAGGCAGGCGGTCATGGCCAAATCGACTTAGTTCGTCCCGCTCATCATTTATTATGTACATATATACTGTAATGGGTCTCCGACGACTCGTCTTGAGTTTGAAAAACTTCGTGGCAAATTTATTATACCCTGTTCAGGGTATAAAATATTGATATACCAAGCCGAGTGTGTATAATTGCTTTCTTACCACTAAAATAATCCTTTTCCGCATCTTTTTTTTTATTTTTTATTTTGCCTCAAAGCTTCCTCGTGACTTCAGCACCTCTTAAAAGGGTTTAAGCGGTTCACAAAAATCAATGACTTGCCTGCTTTTATATATGTATGTACATACCTTTGGGTGTTTGCATGTATGTATATATGTATCTCATGTGTTGTATATCTTTCTCATCCGCTGTGTTGTCACGAATTCTAAACAACTCTGCAATTCTTTTGCATTGTTATTGTTGTTGCAGTTTTCGCCTGCCGTTTCTTTTAAAACTACCTGCTTAAATTGACGCTTCAACCCAAGGGAAGCATACGTTACTTACCGTAGAGGACGAGGTTCGTTAAGAATTCAGCCACAAGCATCTACACACACACATACACTCAACTAAGCAAACAAGTTTTATTTTCGGCACCAACGGCTAGTTAACTGGCTGTAGGTCATAAATCAGAAGGCACTTGTGGAATCTGGAGACAAGAAAGTATTATATGTAAACTCAGCTTGCAGCACGATGCAGCTTCATTACAGTTGCAAGTAAGAGACTTAGTGCATTGGTCAAACCTGTATTGCGGTTGTTTGTAGCCATCAGACAGTGTTTGTTGGTTTTGTTTGCTCCAAGCGTTCAAAAAATATTTAAGGTTTTTTTTTGTGCCCATACATTTTGTGTATACATATGTATGTGTGTAGGTATGTATCTAAGTGAACACAAAAACATTGTTGATTGGTTTATGATTTTCCATACAAATTTATTTGTTTACATATGTACACACATATATGTATATTTGTCTTAGCTTCGTGACTTTGACCAAAAATAATTTGTATACAGCCAATACCTTATAGTTACATAAGGATACACATACACACATACATATCTATATATAAGCATGTGCATCTTTAACTTGCTATATGCGTCCATACAGTAATTTTCGAAAAGATAATAAGTGTTTTTATACTCTCGCAACATGTTGCAACAGAGTATAGTTTTGTTGACTTAACGGTTGTTTGTCTCACCTTAAACTAATCGAGTTAGATATAGGGTTATGTATATATAAATGATCAGGATGAAGAGACGAGTTGAAATCCGGGTGACTGTCTATCCGTCCGTCCGTGCAAGCTGTAACTTGAGTAAAAATTGAGATATCTTTATGAAACTTGGTACACATGTTTCTTGGTACATTAAGACGGTTGGTATTGCAGATGAGCGTAGTTGGATCACTGCCACGCTCACAAAACGCCATTAATGGAAAACAAATAAATTGTCATAAACAAGCTCCTTAATAAGGACAAGACTGTTATTTGGTACAGAGGATCACATTAGGGAGAGGCATCTGCAGTTAAAATTTTTTTAAGTGGGCATGGTCCCGCCCCTAATAGGTTTAATGTGCATATCTTCTAAACTACTATAGCTATAATAACAAAACTCACTGAGAAGCGCGATAAATCAAGCACTAAACACGCCAGAGATATTTAATTTTATCTCAGGGATGTTATAAGATGACTTTATAGAAACCGCATTCAAATTTAGACAGTGGGCGCGACACGCTTATTTTCCATATGACACCATTTTAAATACCACTTGATTCTTTCACTTTTATATCGGACTAAAACGTCGACAGCTTAGTAGGAGGGGTATGAGGGAAGGAATTTTGAATCAGAGACGTCTTAGACAAAGTCAAGTTCGCCTTCGTAGAGATAACCCGCTCAATAGGCAAATTGAAAACCAAACGCAGTCCCAACGAATCCGATCAACGAGAGAAAATAATGTTATTGAAATTGATAATAGTGGCAATTTAACAGATTTCAAAAACATTTATTTCCAAAATATAAATAAGGGCCCTACTGAAATATATATTTGCTGTGGCGGATTATGGTTGGTTTTCACACCAAGTTCGCAAATTAAATTTCGAAACTATTGCGCAAGGTCACCCGAATGCTGCATCCGCCTTCTATTTAATGCAAAAATTTCTTTCGGAAGATGGAAATTACAATTTTTGTGATACTTGCAAAAATGCGATTGTCAAAAAGAACGTTCCGTCTGTTTAGCTAACGGTCTAGACTTTCCTGAAATACCAGATTGTTTGAAAGATTTAACCCCAATTGAAGAAAGTCTCATAATGCCTAGATTGCCTTTTATGACAGTCCGTCCGTTAGGATATAAAGGTCAGAGTTTGCTCAAAGGTGCTGTTGTTAATATACCAATTTCTGTTAAAAATATTGTGACATCGCTACCAAGGTCCTTTGATGAGGCTCATGTGATACGAATTCACTTAAGAAGGCGTTTGGAATACAATCATGATTACATGATCGATACCATACGCCCCGCAAAGATTATGGAAGCTTTGCAATTCTTAGTGAATACCCCTCTGTATCGTGAACACAATATACATATTAATAAGAACTGGATTTTAGAATTTAATAACCAAGAAGAAGTTCCGTTTGTTGCATCTGCAGAGGATTCCCGATTGGTTCAATCTTTTCATGCCGCTCAAACTTATCATGATAATCTCTCAGGTAATAATATCCCCACGGGCCTTTTACCTTCAGAGCTAAATTCAGGCGGTCAAGAAACTCTTTTGGGCAACATTCCTGTAGAAAACTTGGACTATAACCGTTTAGTTATAGCGCCAGGTGAAGGACAAAGACCAATTGACATAATTCAAGATAATAATTCAGAAGAGTTGTCATTTGGAACAATATACGTTGGACAGAAACGTACATGCTCTGAAACATATAGCAAGATAATTCGTTCTGAAATTCGCCGTTTTGACAGAAGAGCGTGTACCATTTCAAAGTTGTTCTATGATTACAAAAAATTAGAACTGCTACAAATTAAGAATAGTACATTCATTTGCCTTAGAAAGTTTTCAAGCCCCAACCGAGTTACGGCCCAAAATCTATTAAACGAAAACTTTGTTCAAAACTTGATTCAACACGATGATGGTTACAAAGTTTTGAAAGGCGTTAGATCCTCACCTGCGCACTGGGAAGCTGAGAAGAAAAAGGAAATCGCTATGATTCACCAATTTGAGCTTCCAACCTTCTTTATCACTTTATCGGCTGCAGAATCTCAGTGATTTGAGCTTTTAGTCATTCTCTTTAAAACTGTTGATTCTAAAGATATTTCGGAAGAGGAAGGCAACAGTTTAACAACCCAAGATAGATATCGCTTAATTCGGTCAGACTTGGTTACTTGTGCTAGACATTTTGACTACCGCTATCGACAAATTCTTAAGCTTTTTAAAGATAACGCCGGCATTTTTGGAGAACATTTTGTTACAAATTTCCACTGGAGAGTGGAGTTTCAACAGAGAGTTTCCCGCATGTACATGGCATGTATTGGCTTAATAATGCTCCCAGGATCAACCTTCAAGATCCTTAGACATTCCCTGATGTCATTAGTTTTATTGACATTTATATTTCTACCGATGGTTCGATCAGCCACTTAGAAAATTATTTGGGTTATCAAAAGCATAACCACAGTCGGTCTTGTACTAGGGAAATAAGAGGACAACAGTTTTGTCGTTTTGGTATACCATATCCACCAATGCCTTCAACGCAAATACTGTTACCTCTTACAGAAACAAGTCAAAATTCCGAAAGTCACAAGGAAAACCTTCTCAAAATTCAAAACATTTTAAATTCAAATATGACTACAGAAGACATTTCTAATTTAAACGATTTTGAACACTTCCTGTCTGATAGTAGAATAAATATGTATTTTGATGATATTTGGTTTGACCTAAGGGCTAAGGGGTTTAACAAAACCCACAATTTTTCTAAAAGAAAATTATAGGTTCGTTTTATAAACGCTTATAATCCTCTGATTTTGGAACTCCATAGAGCAAATATGGATATCCAATATATACTGGATGCATATGCTTGCTGTTCATATATAATTAATTATATTAACAAGTCTAACAGAGGAATTTCTAGGCTCTTAAATGAAGCTATATCAGAGGTAAATGCTGGAAATTATACTATTAAGCAAAAACTTAAACATATAGGTCACAAATTTATATCAGGCACAGAAATATCTGCACAAGAAGCAGTATATTGCTGCATTGGGCTCCATCTTTCGGAAGCAAGTAATGCCTAGACTTATCGATTTAAAATTAATCATAATTGATGAAATATCGATGGTAGGTGCGCATATGTTTAGCTCTGTTCGGCGGTATATCGATCATAGTGTTTGGTGATTTGAAGCAACTCTCACCTGTTGGAGATAGGTGGATATTCTCTCCTAATCCTTACAGCACTTTTGTTGGTTCCCCTTTGTGGGAGTTATTTAAATACTTTGAATTAACAGAAATAATAAAAAACGGGAGGATCAGGCCTTTGCAATTGCATTAAACCATATGGCATCTGGTACTATGACAAATGAGGACATATTACTAATTGAAATTCGAGTAGTTAATTTCAAAGAAGTACCCGATGATTTCATACATTTATTTTGGTCCAATGAAGAGACAAATAATTTCAATGCCCTTAAGCTCAGTCGAATCCCAATTGAAGCTATCCTTTCAACTGCAAAAGACTCAGTTAAAGGAATTGGTATAAGTGAAAATGAGAATATTATGGAAAGAGTTAAACTTTTCAAAACTTCTGAAACGCAGTGATTGCCCTATGAATTGATACTAAAAACATCCGCTGTGGATTCTTGGACACCTATTGAAAAAGTTCTAAAGTCTTTTCAATATAAAAGAAATGAAAAAATTTCAATTGAAAGAAATCAGTTTCCAGTTGTTCCATCTAGAGCTTCAATATATGTCGCTTGTAGTCGAGCTACTTCTGCAGAAAGTCTATTCATCATAGGAAATTTTATTCCTCCTAACAAATTTTCTGAATCGGATCCCGTATTTAGGGAACTGAGGGAATTGAACACAAATAAAGCTTTGACAACAAGTTTCAATTTTATGATTTCCTGAACATCAGGACATCAAATTTTATTCCATAATGTTCAGAGTCTTCATGCTCACATTAATGATATAAAAAGCGACTGTTTGATGCTATCTTCAGATATTTTATGTTTTGTAGAACTTGGAGTTGGAGAAAGTTTTGATATACCAGGACTTACTCCAATTATCGAGCTGAGGATAGATAGCACGGAAACAAGCAACAGTTTTGTTTAAATGTTTCAATATTAATATTCTGGTTCTATATAGAAATTCAGCTTTCTCTGTCAGACATTTAATTGTAGAACTTCAGGAAGTCCTTACTTCTGAGTTATGCAATCAAAATGTGCTAATTGTTGGAGATTTTGACATTTGTTTAATGTCTACAGGGACTACAATAAGAAATCTGCTCCAAGAAAAAAACTTTAGTTCCCTGATTGGTGCAGAATATTCAACTACACCTGCCGGTACACAAATTGATTGGGCATTTTCAAACATGGATCCTTCCCATGTTAATGCAATTACTTTTGAGACAGTACACAGCTATCATGTTGGTATTTGTGTCTATATTTCGAACTAAAGATTTCAGACTTAGTGCAATAGTTTTTCATTTTTTTTCAAATATAATCGAATTAGAATGGTATAGCAATTTTGACAGTAGTTTTTAAGACAATTTTAAGAAAAATATGTAACTAATCTAATTAAGAAAATTTAAATTATATGTATAATTTGTTATTATATAAGACATTATTGTATTATATAAATATATGAGAGAAATTAAATAGTATAGGGAGAAAAGAAATATATTATGGATATAATCTCTATAAAAATTTATGTTTAATATTGTAAATATTATATACAAATTAATATATTAATATAATTTTTAAAATTGTTAGTATTTATTATTTTTAAACGAAACATGTAAAATAATATCGATATAATAAATAAAAAATGTTATTCATTGTCCAAAAACGATTTCTTTTCATACTCCTCAATACAGTTGTAATGCATTCTATATAAAATCAATTATAAGCCTATACAACGATTTCTCATAATTTGTGTAAATTTAGTTTACAAGTTGCTTTAATTAATTTCACTGTGAATGAAAATAACTGAGGCAACAGTTCCTACTTCTAGTTATTAAAATATATAAAGAAATCTCAAACGAGTATACCACTTGACTTTGCGAGAGTATAAAATGTGTGGTTACATCCGAACTTAGCCCTTCCCTATTTGTTTTGTTTACCTTTTTCCACCGTGGATAATAAACTCTTCAGTAATTCCCTGCAGTTGTTGTAACTGTCCTCCAACATTTCGATACCGAATCCATAGTATAAAGCTTCGAGATCTTTAAAACAGGCGTTTGTTTCCATCTTGACATTTTCATTTGCGCTTCGGGCCAATTTGTCGTGCGTGAGGGAGTTGTTTATATTGTAGCATAATTCCTTGAATATGTCCATGTTATATCCACTTGCAAGTCAGAAAAATGCGTTTTTTCGTGAATTTCTTTTGAAGAATTACGTTATTTATTTAATAAAGAAAAATAATGTATGTACAAACATTTACTGTATTTAGTGCACTTTAATAATCGGTGAAACATTTTGGATCCCCTTGATTTCGTTGTCGATCTCCAGGAAGACCTTCAAAAAAAAGTGTCTGGCTTAAAATTATCTCAAAACAAAAAAATATGAGAAAAACTTACTACCAAAGATAAATACAGGTAACGATCGAAAGATTAGACAAAATTTTGATTATTGACAAAATCACGGTTTTCCAAAAGTACTTTTTCGTGCAAAAGCTTTCACTTCAGATTGGCAAAAATCGAAATTATTATTCCTTCGATCATTCCCTGGCAAATATGTATATCTACTAAGGTCGTGTGATAACGGGAGACGATCGATTTTCTTAATTTTTGCTGTCATTGTTAAGTATATTTATGTAGACAATTCTGCATAATTGGGTAATCTTAGCCTTTTAATTAAAAGCAGTACACCGGGAAATGAATAATCTGAATAATCGATTGTATGGGAGATATGTATGTATTTACATTAGCACAAGATCAAAATACACCTGTGTATTAAGTTTCACCGGATATTCGAAAAAGTGACAAAGTTTTATAATTTATAAAAGCTAAAATTCGATTTGAAGATCGCTGGCTCGAAACCGGATTTAGACCCATAGTTAGGCGAAATACTCCAGAATGATCTGTAGAAAATAATTCGCATATGCGATTTTTCCGTTTTTCGACCCCCTACAAAGCAACTTCCTCTAATGTGTACATACATACATATATATAATGGTAAACGATAACATGATAGTTCCATGAAGAAACTTTTGCCAACAACATTAAATGATTTGATTTAACGAAGACTAGTTTGCAACACTAAAGAAATTGTTTTTAATAAGGCAAATAATAATTATAATTCGGTCGTTGTAGTAATAAATTTCCCGACTTTCATATAACCAAGAAATGATTTTGATAGCGATAAACAGATAGTTTTACAAATAGTTCCCACGACAGTCGGGTCTACGTAATCGGAACGGACCCGGATTTATTCCGGCCAAGGACTGTCAACTCGGCAGAATTCTGTCGCTACAACAACAACAACAAATAGTTGTTATTTTTACAAACATTAAATACTAGGAAAATCTGTCTCCTGGCTATGGTCGAAAGACTCCCGGATTTTTATTTCCATTTCAATTTTATTACTTTATTTTAATATACGCCTTTTCAATTGATTTGTTTTGCGCACATAGCAACTTACTTATTTATTTTCTTCGTTTAAAACATTTGTTTTTATTTAAACACAAGCTTTTTTATTACACATTTCTTTAAATGGTACTTAAAGTAGACAATTTTTTACTTATAAACGCCATGGTAGTTACTCTTTACCAAGATGGTGCTTTGCCTTCAGAACCCCCCGGCCGAGCATAAAGTGCGCTTTTATCACGGAATAGTGTCATACGTTCGGTTTCCTTCTTATCTAAGAAATGGCCAATGGCAAAACCAATAAAGGGCAACACAGCCCATACATAGCGTTTGTCCAATCCAATCATACTGTTGTCGTTTGTTCACTGAGTTTGTTAATCAGTTAACAATTCTTTATTTCTAGCAAGTTGACGTTGTTGTTCTTTCCAGGCACGTGTATGTGTCCAGTCGACTAAAATCGTTGTTACTGTAAATGTGGGGAAGAATATAACTGCTCCGTACTTCCTTGCCAAACGGGCTAAAGTCATAACACCTGGAAAGAATGAAAATGTGAGCAATGCAATAAAATTACGTAAGTCCGCTATCTCGCATTTCTAGCTATTTATCAACAACACATAATGAGTTTGCATGAAATATTGTTATTATATATTTCATTGCAAATATGTTGAATGTAATTAAATTGAAGTTTGATATATTTTCACAAAATTATACACAATCCTTACACTTTATTTAGTTGCCACTTGAGCTAAACACGAACAGAACAAACAGAGAAATGAAATGTCAATCTTTAGCTTGCTGTGAGTACAATCAGCTGTGCATGCACAGTTGCTGCGAACTATTTTCGTACTTTGTTTGCCACAGGGTGTAGTTTTTGAATATTACTCGTTAATAATTCAATAAGCTATTTCGTATGCATTTTTTATACCCTGAACAGGGTATATTAAGTTTACCACGAATTTCGCAGCCCCTAAAAGAAAACGTCGGAGACCCTATAAAATAAATATCTATGTAAATGATCAGCATGACGATATGAGTCGATTTAGTCATGTTCGTCTGTCTGTATAGGTATACGCAAACTAGTCTCTGAGTTTTTGATATATCGACCTGAAAATCTGCATGCGTTCTTTGTTGCTTTGTCGGAATCGCCGATATCGGATCACTATAGCATATAGCCGTCATACAAACTGAACGATCGGGATCAAGTGCTTGTATGGAAAGCTGTTTCATTTGACGAGTTATCTTCAAGTAATTTGGCATGAGTTATTGCCTAAGGCAATAATGTCGCTGAAGAAATACGAGTATATAGACCAGGGTAGATATTTTTGAAATCAGAAAATAAATATTATGATGATACCAATCATCAAAGATAAAATAACAAACATTAAAGGAAAAAGAATTTACGAGAGAGCTGTGGTCGGGGAGAGGAAGAGAGTGGGTAGTTGAATTTTTAAGGGTTAAAACTGGTTTATCTTTCGGGCAAAACCACTAGTCTGATAATCTTGTCTTGACTCCTTTTTCACATAACTATAAATTTATTAAATATTTTATATAGATTTTTTTGGTTTTTTATTTTTATTTTTTACAACATTTTATAAAGAAATTTGGTCTAAACTAACCTTTTTATGTCCCAAAGACATTACAATTCTTTTATTTTAAATATTTAATTTTTCACCTTATTTTGATTTAATATCGAAAAAGACCACCAATTTTCAATTTCTGTGACCAACGAGTCGACAGAATCCTTCCAGCTTCAAAGCAAAATCGTTGGAATAAATTGTTACATCGCTGATATCCCAGAGCTTGTCCCTATAGGTCAGTGACATACATATATATACACATTTCTTCTTATTGTCTTATCTACTATTCCAGCAATTATCTGACAGATTCCAGATAACACAGATACCGAATTGTTTGGTCGAAGCATTTAACTGTAGCTTGCATCACTTCGCGACAGTGGAGGTCGTTATTATTCTCATTTCATTAAAATTCTATTTTATATAACTGTGCATTTTTTATTTATATCCATTGGAAAAAAACTATTTTTTTCCTCTTAATATAAATTACACATTTAATTTAGATTACATAAAAAGAAAACAATTATATTTGCTTCATAAAGCAAAATCATAACTCTTCCACATCTGCTGGTCCCCTATTTCTTTTGGCTCATACGTTTTAGAGCCAGTTTGCGCAATTTCAAATAATATTTCAAAAAAACGCTCGAAACAAAGGGTTCGCACGTTAGGTACTTCATAAAGTTATACGTAATGTGTACGAATTCATGTGGTAAATATCCCGTTGTTGTCGTGGCATATCCCAACATACTGAGTGCTGAAGCCACATAGGTATCGGGCGTTGGGCTCGACATGCTCGGTCTAAACTTACTCATCTTGGTTGAAACGAAGCCCGGTTTAATGCATTGTACTCTGATCCCACTAGCTCGATATTCCGTTTGTAAACCTTCGCTAAATTTATCGACAAAGGCCTGCAAAAAGTACAAAAAAAGGGAGTTCAATTGTCTTAAATGATTTAAAACTCTATTTGTATTACCTTGGTACCGCTGTAGATAGTTAACAGTGGGGCTGGTATAGACGAGGATGTTGATGATACATTTATGATTAAGCCTTTCTTCCTGCTCAGCATGACTGGCAAAACTAAGGCACACATGTGTGTCACAGAGTGTATGTTCACCGAAATCATGTCCAGCAGGATTTTAGAATTCTGTTGGTAATAATTATGAAAGTACTCTGGGTAGGGATAACCAACGCCGACATTATTGACGAGCACGCCAATATCGAGACCTTCAATGCCTGCTTTGATCTTATCGTAAATTTCATCACTATTTTGAAAATCAACATCGATGATTTTGATTTCTACTTTGCACTCATTTTCTGAAATTTACAAAAGTTGAATAATTAAAAACTATTTCAATATTAAGAAGTTTTTTAATTATCGAATCAAAAATGGTAACTCACTTTACAAAACCTAGATACTCGGTACCATATATTGATAAAGAACAAAGAAAACGGGCCTCAGGAAATAATACTTCAGAGCTCTATGCCCTTTTGCTTGAACATTTCTGTGAATTCAGTGATCTAATACCAAAGAGTACAGTGTTGCTCAAAAGAAATGCCTAAATTTCATTATATCTGGGATTGTAACTTTATATTGGAGTTAAGAGAGTCATAATTTCGAATATAGCGCACTTCCTAAACCGTTTATAGAATTTTATAGGACTGCTAATCAAATACTCCCAAACCTCAAAATGGTAAATCACGGAATCAATATTCACAAAGTGAAAAATTAAGCCGCCAAAAATGCCCGATATGCAACAATATCATCCGATTGTGATTTTTGATGGATTTATTTAATGTTTCTATTTCAACATTTTTTATGTTTTTTTTGTACGTTAATATTCCTAGACCTTACATTTACTCTTCAATCCGAATTGGAATATGCAAAAGGACTGAAATATAAACCAACTTATTCTGTCATTAGTCCCATATGGATTGACTCAACTAATGTTTTTTTGTTCTTTTTTTCGAAAGGCTTGATTAGTAATCGCAAAAGCTGCTGACCCTATCAAAAATGAATTAACACCGAACAAGAAAAAACGTTTATGGCTGCACTAAAGCTATTATACCCTTCACGGGTGCATTTATTATACCACAAAAGGGTACACAAATTTTTTTATCTTGATTTAGATCGGCCGTTTTGAACGGCAGCAATGTGCTGTAATGGTCCGATCTGTACAAAATGATCGGAGGTTGTACCGTTGTCTTAAACAATAAATATTGTCAAATAAAAAAGTTTTACATAGAAGGACTTGATTTAGATCGATGAGTTTGTATCGTAGCTATATTCAATAGTGGATTTTTTATATACTTGTAAATACTTTAGAGGGTATCCGAAAACTTAATATACTCTCTTCAGGGCATAAAAATACGTTAAAATCGTTCGAAAATTGAATTGATCTTTAATTAATGTGTTTTACCCTGGATTCGTTTTGAATGGTCAAATAACTAATGGTCGGTTTGTGATGTCTACGTGATACTATGCGTCGTGAACAACTGAATTTGTTGTAAAAAATATCAGGTCTTTTGAAACTAAGGGCATCGCGAGCGAAATCCATTACAACAGCATGAAATTATTGGCTTGTCTATTAGGCGGAATCGGTAAAATGCGAGCAGAAGCGAGACAACAGGTTTTTACAAATTTAAAGGTCTAAGTCGAATGTTGCTTTCTACAAAGTTCACAAGCTCGGGCTTTTAACATGTAATGTATGCAATAGGATGTATTTTCTTGCTAGAGTTTCTAAAATAACAATAAACTCTAATTATAATTAGAATAACTGTTCATAGGCACGTACCGATTTCCTTCGCAACATCCTCCAATTTGCTTAACGAACGGCTGATCAGGACCAAACTGAATCCTCGCTTCGCAAGCTAAAAAATATGAAAATATAAATCAGCTACAAATTAATAAACATAAATGTAATATTGCTAAATAATGATAATCAGCGGTGTTGGGAAAACCAAGTCAGAATTGCTTAACTGTCAGAATTGCAAACCAATTCTGTTTTGTAAGGGTGTACAGAATCTGATTGGATTTAACAGTAAAGAAAATTGCTAATTACTTGCTAATATGCAAAATCAAAATGTAATTAAGATTGTACTTTGGCTTTTCAAAAAACCGTAATGACTTTTAACACAAGCGCGGTTCAATTCCCTTCATTATGTATAATCTTATGTATATACGTATGTAAGTTTAATTGCAATGTCTTACGGATGATCATCTAAATGTATATATATATATTTTTGTTGTTGTTTGAAGTAAATGCGTTAAATTTTTTGCGTAGTAAGCGCATTTATCTAATGTTAATGTTTATATACTAATATTTGCAAAAGAAACTGCTTTTTATCTGTTTACCTAAAAAAAATCTCATACTGCAGTTATGTGTGCCTACGCTATACCTTTGCACTTGACATTGAAATCGACTATTAGAGAGATTTGCTAACACTAAAATGAAGGTTTTATTTATCATAGTTAGAATAATCCGATCTAGGTCTAATATGCAACTTTTGTGCGATAACTTGTTGCCATTTGGATGGTAATTTCATATTGCCACTCTCATAGAAAAAAATTGGGACAGTCGATTTTGACAAGCTCTTTTGCAGAGCAGTAATCACTTGGCGCCATGTCCGGGCCGTAAGGTGGATAAATATGAATCTCCCAACCAGCTCTCGGATATTCTGGTGAGTCGCTATCAATGTGTTTAACGTCGTGTTCTCCTAACGCATCAAAATTCTTCTCCTATTGGCCATTTTGTGCTGTTGCTTCTTTAAGACGGTCCAATTGTTTACAATATATGCAGGTCTGAATTAAGTGTTGGGCCTTAGGAGTACAGCCCAAAGTAGATGATTCCCTGCCAATTCCTTCAAACACATAACAAAACCTTTTTGACAGTCAATCTTGCGATTCGACCACGACTGTTTCGCTTGACGTTGTCGTAAGTAATCTACTTTCCATCACCAGTAACCATGCGCATTAAAAATCCATCAATTTTATTGCAATTCATTTTTTTTCTGGCGGTCGGACTCTACGATTTCCATCATTTTGGCGACTATTTCTACAATTGGTCTTTAAATTGTTTGTTACAGTATGAAGACCATAAACACTATTCACATTTTCGGACACTTGGCTTGCGTTTTCAACTTTATCGAAGAAAAACTATATAGTAAGGCGAATTTTCTCTTTGCCATTTTTGACGTGTGCTCAAACAATACTGAGCCAAGCGTAACCTGATAGCACTTGTACAACGAGAGCTACAGGTTACTAAGGTAATCTATTGGAAAGTAATGAATTTATTTTTACTAGAACTTATGTTACTCGATAGTAAAATTATTTTTCGTAGTGGTGCCATCGGGAGGTGAGGCTGAATATCTATTAGACCACCCTCGTATATTGATCAGTTTAATATTTCATTTTGTATTCTAAAAATTGTATGGTTACACAAATATTAGATGAACTAATTTCATTAAGAATGAACCTCGCTAGTTTAAAGAGCGCCCTCATTTAATGTCATGCAATGTCTTTTTGTGTTATTAATATTCCATTTTTGAATTTTTCAAGTCGTTAAAACGCGTCGGCACGTAGGAGACCTGTCGAACGCACATATATTGTGACAATACAGCTAGAACAACAAAAACGTAATATTGTCACCTATTCGACGTGCATAAAATTACAATTTAGGTCTCCAAGTTCAACGAATACTTCAAAATAAAGGCACAAAATACTAAATAAGCATTCATTAATTGGAAATATTAATATTTACAAACATTGCCGGCGCCGAGTAGATTCGAGTCGGCGAGAAATACAATCTAAGTAGTTGAACTTCGCTTATTTGCTTTCAAATTTGCATATACTGCAAGGGCTTGAATTTACTGTGGGGAAAGTAATTCTTCAATTTAATTTTCGCCTGCATTTATTTGATCCACAGTTAGCTGTGTCGCAGTGGATTGGGAATATTTAATGAAACGATGGACTCGCTATACTGGACTTTAGAGTATTGAATCGGTCAAACAAATCGCTTAACTTAAATATGTAAACATTATTGTTTTTGCTGTCATTTGTAATTTTTTTAGGAGAGCAGAGTTCAAAGAAAACGAACAAAAAGGTGGTGAAATGAGAAACTTACAACTTTGTAGGCCTCCTGAAGTCGAAATATCAAATTTATTTTAAAGTCAGTCTTTAAGTTCTTTAAAGTCTTTACTTTCAGATGATATTGTTCTGTTTTTTTTTTTTAATTATCTACCCTGGTCTAATACTATATATATATATATATATATAATAGTATTTATATGTAAAATTTAGTAGAAAACTGAGTCTTTGATGCCTGTAAATATATTTAAATCTGTAGCGAAACTTCAAGCACGTCTGGAAAACACTGTTTAACAGCAAAAATCCGAAATAAAATGGAGTTATGTCCTCTGAAAATTGCCAGATTTGTACAAAATATTATTATTTAAAAGTTATATATGTAGATATATAGATAGAAGTGCAATATTTAATTTAATTCCATTATAACTTTTTTAAAATACTATATTATGTATTGAATTTTTGTTCAAATTTGGCTGCACAGCATATAATATTAGTTTTCTAGAAAAATCGGCGTTAAGTAATCCTCGTAACTAAGCTCATTAGCTGTTTAGAAGTGATTAATAAAGATTTCCAAACATTACCGTTACTAATATATTACATAAGTGTTTGAAGTATGAATAGACAAGATTAGTTAATGCATGGATACATTTTCGAGTTTTTTTTCTAACACAACAATTAAAAATTTACATAAATTACAAATTTTCGGAAGGAAATTGAAATGCAAACCCTGAAATTTCCACATTTTGTATTCCGAATTACTATTCACTGATGTAATTATCATTTAGAGCAAAAAATTAAAAAAAGTAATATACGAGTATATATATAGGGAAAAATGAATAAAAAGAAGAAAAAACGTTGACTTCGGCCACATCGAAGCTATAATACTCCTCACACGTGCATTTATTATAGCCGCCAGTTTGTAAATTTGTATGGCAGCTATATGCTATAGTAGTACGATCTAAACTAATCTATGCCCAATTTCGTGAAGATATTTTGTCAAATAAAAAAGTATTGAGATATACAATAGATCTAAAATTTTAGGCACGTCTTTCTCTCCCCAGGTTAGGTTAGGTTAGATAGCTGATCCCTCAGCATTGCGGGGGGATCACACTTAGACTGTTATGTGCAGCCCTTTGCGATGTCAAACGAAAAACTCCTGTCGTTGGATGTTATCTATCGACAAAAACGCTCTCAACCTTATAAAGGGAAACAAATCTGTTTAGGCGTAGCTGCTGGTAGTCAAACAGCGCTTAATGATTTAGTCTGAAGCCCAACAGTCAAATAGTGAAATGCAAGAATCCAAAGGAGCTCCTACCCGTTTCCATTCCGCAGTTATTGAGAGTGAAGTACCTATCCTAGCAAGCTTATCAGCCCTACAGGCCGGCCCCACACACCCAAACCAGTCTAATCCTAAAGTAACTTGATGCTAGAGATAAGGTTATCCCCAATCAGCGGCTCATTTGTACGCCGATATCGGACCACTAAAGCACATAGCTGCCACACAAACTGAACGATCAAATTCAAGTTCCTGTAATGAAAACTTTTTTATTTGACGAGATATATTCACGAAATTTGGAACATAATATTACCCTAGGCAACGCTACATTATCCGAACAAAAATTTCAGATCGCACCACTAAAGCTCACAGCTGTCATACGAAGAGACCGATCAAAGTCAAGTTTTTGTATGGAAACTTTTTTTTTTGAGGAGAATATTCTAGCTTCGGTGCAACCGAAGTTAAGGTTTTTTTTGTTTTTGCAAATAAGCATGACATACCGCTTTCGCATAAGCTTTTCCAATACCGTCAGTTGAACCGGTGACCACTATAAAGGGAAACAAAAAACAGCTGATTAATAAAGAGTCGAAAGCCGATAAGAAGCATGCTGATACGCGCACTTTCGACAAATTAGCCTTTATCGAAATTCCATTTTTCCTATAAAAATTATTTAATTAATCCATAATAAGTAGATAATGAAATTCTGTTATAATTTCTTCGTCCAACAGAATGATAGCCATGCAATGTAATACTTAGATAAAATATTTCCTCAATTCTTGTTTTCGATATTAAACAAAAATTCTCTAGTAAAAAGTTTATGGTATTAGCGCGTATCTATGCTGCTTTATTAGCTTATCAGGCAACCCAGAACGGTGTATATGACTCAAAACTAACCAGCCCAACCGCCCATGCCGCGTATGTTCAACTTTGGCCCCAAAAACTTGGGTCCAATAATATTTATGTAAACCCATGGTAGAAATTTGGTGACGATTTTGAAGCACATAAGTCCAAGAGCTATACTGCCGAAAACCTGGAACGCAGTAATATTATCCAACGCCATTTTCGCTGAGGAAGTAATTTTTTTTTTGCGCTATTTATTTTAAAATTTTTCCTACACAACTGCTTTAGTAGTACACAAATCAGCAGTAAGAAGCAATTTCTCTCAACACTGCGAAGCAAAAACACTTTCACGTTTTAAATATTTTCCTGCAATCACTATTTTGCGTGCGCCTTCGTCAATGTGCGTTTCCGTAATGCCGTGCATGGATTGTGTAGTTCGGGAAAATATTGAAAAATCGATGATATTGAGCAGCGTTGAAAAATCATATGCACTCAACGCTCGTTTGTCAATTTTTTTTCTTTCGAAAATTAGTACTTTTGTAGGCAACCTAATTGAGAATTCTATGCATATGCCACATGCGCTCTGCCGGCGTACTCAATAATTGTAAGCATTTGTCGCTAACATTGTTTAATTGAACCAAAGTGCTGAACTTAGCGATTCGCTGGGAGCATAGGCACAGATACTCGTGCTTAAATACATACATACATATCTACACTTGTATGTGGGTTTGGTATGAAAATCACTGGCGCACTATTTTGTGCGAGTACTTTTTCGGTTGCTTTTCGTCGGGCTTCTCTTTATTAAGTCGTCCCTTCGCCGCGTGTATGCATAATCGCTTTCATTCATGTGGTGTTTGCGAGGCGCGGAAATTCTCTGCACTCGCCAGTAATTCCATATCGCACCACCATCACGCTAATACACACATAGATACACGATTATCTGTGTGTATGTATTTACATTTTGAGTCCACCCCATGGATGGTGGGTCGCCATGCATAATAGTTCAAACAGTGACCGACGCAAAACCGTGGACCGAATCAGCTGATACGACCTATCTTATGAGAGCGCATTGTAAATAAACACTCACCATCGCTTCTACCGTCCGCTTCTACAGACCGTACCGTAGGATATCCGCGAAAATTGGATTTTTCCTGTAGAAACGAGTGAGCTGAGAGTAAGAGAGCAATCTCTTGCAACGTAGGGTTGCCAGTCTCGATATTTGTAGTAATTAAAAAATTAACTTGAATATATTTAAATTATACTTAAAATAACTCAAAATCATGGTCTAATACATTTATTTATAAATAATTAGACTATTTTTAATAGTTGGAATTTAGTTTGCAGCTTTGTGAAAAATCGTGTATACAAATTCAACTATGGCAACATTTGGTTTGACAATTTTGGTTTGATACGGGCGGTACGTACGAAAGGGAGGAATGTCGGTGACTGTTTGATCTATAAGTTCATACATACATATATGTTTAGCGCGCACGTTGGCACTAATCTACATATGTATGTATGTACAGTGAGTTAAAAGAATATTCACACAAAATTATTATAGGTTTTTAATTTGAAGCGATATGATATATTGAATTTAGGGGACTTAAGAGATACATCTAGTGTGAAATTAAAAAAAAAAATCGATTTTAAACAAATCAATATATTTGTATTGTGCTTGATTCGTAACTCTAAATGGCTTGATGATTTGAAGTACTTGTATTTAAATTATTGATTCTTTTTATACTCTCTACATGATATTATTAAATGTAACGAACTTTCCTTTAGTGTAGCTAATATGTATGCAACGGAAGTAAATCACATTTTTCATATCTACACGTAAACCTAAATAACATGGTACAGTTTGATATGCACTGTAGCCGTTTGTTGGTTTGAAACTTCGCTTAGCTCATTTTCATGCCATAAGTAATACAGTTGCGGCATATTGATGAATATATATTGTATATAAAGTCTAGTAAAAAGGAATCTATTATTTCTCCAATAAATAACTTTAGTAATATGTTTTTCGCGTTGTATGAGTGCGATCGTGTTTCGCTACATGGCGTTAGAAAAATAAGATTTGGTTTTTTGTGATTCCTTAACTCAATAATGTTTTAGCACGCGTTCAAGATGAAAACCAGCAAAGAGAAAGTTCGCCATATTTTACAGTTTTTCTTCGAAAAATTCAAAAAACTGATACCGTAACAGTCTCTCTTGCACTATTTCGGCTTCGTTGTCCGTTTCGATAATTTTGATGTCAAAAATGCACCAAGCTCGGCATCGAAAATATCGATGAAATAATAGAAATCGTCGCATCAGACCGTCATGTAATCACTGTTTAGATTGACCAGGAACTAAACATTGCATAAAATACCGTTTGAAACTATATAAATTAATTGACTATTTAACCTTGACGATCAATAAGGTTTTGCGTTCTGTTTCGTAGAATTGGCAGGGAATAACCTATTGTACTATGAGCTGTTCCCTACTTACATCTGGACGACGCCTGGCCGGACCGATCGATAGCGACTCGTCAGAAGCTTTGAGAGCTTGGTTGGAGGGTTCCTATGCATCCACCTTATGGTTCGGACCTGGCACCAATTGATTACTATCTTTTACTATCTATGGCGAATAATTTTTCTGGTGTGAAATTCGCCTTAAGAGAAGCTTTCGAAATCATTCTTAAAACTATAACTCACATCTGAGTTATCGGTGAAAATCGCTCTTCAACTTTCAAAAAGTTAACTTATGAATTATATGTCGACGTTTTCAGGATAACCCGGACTCAACAGAATAGGAGTATACGAGTATATGATTTATAAAATAAGAAAAAGTGATAATATGTGGTGGTTGTTGACTACTAGTTAAGTTAACGGTATTGTGAACACTCTGTAACTAATGTAAAACCAAAGAATGAAATTAATGAATAGAGAAGGCGAAAATGGTGATGAGTACTAATTTGTAGTTTCCACAAGAGTGAACATCGAAAAATACAACGTCGAAAAAAAAATACACGATTCAATCATTCTCTAGTAAAACTAAATTTTCGCTAATTCTTTTGGCTTCGATCGAAAATATTTGCCAGGAAGTAAACTTTCTCAACGAAACTTCTAACAACTGATCATTATATCATCTTGTGTGTTCGCCTCATCTAACGGGATTATTCTCGAAAAAGTGAGAGAAATTGCTATCGATAATCTTCGTGCTTGTGAGAGAGGGATTTTAGCTAGCTTTTTAACTTTTTAACTTTTCAAGGAATTTTGGTAAATATTTTAGATATCATGCGAATTTTCGTCCCAATTTTTAACCTTTTACTGGTGACAAGATGACGTTATATAAAGAGCACAACAAAGCTGCTTAACTTACAAAAAATAAAATATATATCAACGTTCAGCTATCTTATTGAGCAGATAGGGCACCCTGTGACTCGTTCGCGTTTGCAAAACTCAAATATTTGTATAACAGCCGAGTTTATGTAAAATTCGATTAACCTTTGGCCTTGTGTGGAGTCAAAGAGAGCTTATTTTAAACGTATTAGTAAATGTATAGGGGAATTTTGTCAGAATGACTCTAGCATAAGTATGCATGTTTGTCCACTAGCAACCTATCAAGTTCTCAAATAGCGTCTCTAGCTTCCAGTTCTGCGGGAACTTAGTCCTTCCTTACATTTGTTATTTATTGTTCAGTATATACATATGTATACTCTTTTCCTGCTTTACTGCTTTCCCTCTATCAGATCATTTTTGAAAATGATAAAAACACAAAACTAAGTGAGGCACAACCCCACTCACATGCTATATCAAAATTTCAAAAAACATTAACATCAAATTACGACTACAGCGACATAAAGTGCACCTATAAAATTGTTAACATGAGCCAAATGCCATCGGCAGCTGTGCTGTGCTGACAGCGGGACAGACACCGACACCCATACATATATCCAAACAGACGCATGCAGATTAGCTGTATTGTATAGACGAAATTCCACAATTCAAAACCTACGCACTCGACGAGTTGTTGTTATGGCATGTGAGTCCGTATGGTATGATATGGACCATGGCTCATATACGCCCGAACATATGTACAAGTGTGATTGTCTGTATGTTTGCTTACAAGCTAAACGTGTGTTGGTATGGCTAATCCGCATATGAACTCAGGCCTTGGATGTTGGATGCAGCCACAGTTTCCTGCCTTTGAAATGTATATTCTGCGCCAAATTTTTTTTTGTTGCTTCTCCACTCCAATTGTTGTTGCTCGGCTGTGTGATAACATGGGCTTTCAGCATCCTTGAAAATGTTTTCTGCAAAATTTATTATCGTGTTGTGGTTGTTGGTGCCTACACTAGACTTTTTGTTGTTTCTGTGTTTTGGTATTGTTAGCAATGTCACTATGCGCGCTTGTCAAAGTTGATATTGTCAAGTGGAGCTCGGCGTTGGAGTCTAGGATTACTTTAACGGCTTGCATAGGAGCGCATTCAGCAAAGTAAATAATTATATTCGCCTCTGGCAACTTTCACACATACACATATAAGTCGCGGCGCCATTTTCACTTATTTCTCTTCAGTTCATTTCTTAGCGCCTTGAGATTTCTTACCCTATATTTTTTTTAGTTTGATGGGAAATGCAACAGTTACACTTAAGCCATACAAAAAGGTCTGTACAGAAACTCGAAGTCACATCGTTAGCCCTCGAACTGGTATGATTGTCATGGGTTTCGACATATGAATAGTCTAAGGAGTTGAATGGTCTATATTTAGAACTCCAAAGCTTGCTTAATATTTTCTAGCTTGAAAAGGAAAATAAATGGGTATTGCTTTTAAGGACGTCTGACTTTGCGATTTCGCAAATACTTATACTGTAGCCTATTTCGAGTTACTAAGTTCTACTCGAAGTGAGAGCTAGGCGCGAAAACGATACATTTCGAACTAATCCGGTTTACATGCCAACTATTGGCCTTTTTTCTGAACAAAAAACATGCACACTGAATTAGGATAAGGGGCTTTACGGGAAATATTCTTCTTCAGGAACCCTTTACTGAGATGCCAATCATGATTCTTATCTATCATTCTATCTATACTATCGCTTAAGGCAATTATAAAATATTTTTGTTTCTTTAATTGAGTATAATTGGGGTCGGCTAGAACTTTTGAGCACTTTCCGCGATTCAGGGTAAACGCACCATATTCGGTCATGTTAAAAATCTGATTGGAAGTATATTATTCAGTACTACTTTATGCTGTTAAGTCTGCTAAGAATTCCCAAAAAATTGCAATTTTATATCGCGGGTGACCTCTATGGTGATTCTGATAAAAATTGCTCAATTATCAGTTTCTTTATGTCTCGAAAGATAATATATCAAAGAAGTATATATATATGTTACTATTGAGGTCGACGCAGTTTCGATCTCTCTTGTATTGCTTCTAAATTTTTCGTTTCTATAGTGGATCTCGAAATCATTTTAAAATACTGCCGAGTAGAAAACCTAGCTAAATATATATTAAATCTTTTTATTTAGCAAATACTTTGAGATCTAGAAAATTTACGAGATATCGAAATTTCTACTTATGGTGACCCACGTACATTCATAGTTGATTGATTCAGGTGTCAGAATTTTGTTAGGTTCATAATTGTTTCAAATACTTTTGAGAGCTCCTCGGATGAAACATTGAGCACTTATGTACTCAATTTCATCAACATCGATAAGGATACTCTGGACATAACCACTGGTGAATTAGGGCTAGTTTTCACTTACCGAAATAGGATTAGTTTGCAACCATTCGAATGTATGCCTCTAATTCATCATTTAGCTGTGGTCTTATTTATAAGTGGTCTTATGTACATATGTATACCATATATATATATATATATATACAATATTTAAGTGGGGAAAGCAGGCAATTTACGTGAGGGTGCCATAC